GTACAACTTAGAATGGCCAACAAGCTGACGGCCCACCTGATAAAAAGTGGTAACCGTCGCCTATAGACATGAGCAGTACCATGGACATAACAGAGTATACTGTTTCGCCCATGATACCCCCCATACGTTGCCATTCCTGAAGACTCGGGTGTTTTTCCTTTGTACCCAGTAAATTCACGCCATATCCCACCCTTCAAACCGAAACACAGCCATGCAAACACAACTGCTTCACGTTTGAAACACGAATGAGACAGAGGTACCCAAGCAATCGACTTTTGTACAAAGTCTCCCTCTGGTAGTTATTGTGGTTATTGTTTCACTATTATACTGTTAAATTCATAGGAAAACTAAACAAATTTAATGTCATAATTACTCAGAATCCTCATGGACAAACTGAAATATAATCCGAATATATCCATACTAGCTTTCACTAGTTACTTCGTCTGCATAACCGGAATATATTAATTACACATAAAAGGTAACCTATGCCCTTCTCCATCCCATATAGTACATAAAGAACATGTTTGTAAATAATGAAGACAGTCCTCTTGTAAGAAAACTTACCGAGAGGACTAGATTAGTAACTAAATATGAGTATTAACATAGTTTTTAAGTACACACACTAATTAAAAAAGGTCTCAAGTTGTCTAAAATAAAAAAAATATAGTGTATTCCAAATATCATAATGATCGCTAAGAGATTACAAACAGATACACTTTCAGATTTATAATATTTGTATGCATTATTATTACATCAGCCGTCTGTCCACTGCTAAACATAGGTCTCCCCTACAAAGGTTTTGCCAGTAGTTGCCACGCTTGACAGGCGGGTACGCAATCGTAGTTAGGCTTTGATGATATTTTGATGTTGTTGAAAATGTTGAAGAGGGACACTGCTGTCCATATCTCTACCATAAGCTCTCTTAGTTGCCTTTTACGACACACATGGGACAGGAAGGGGTGGTCTATTCTATGCTGGGACCACACGACAATTGGTTAATTCTAATTTTATGTTTTATCATATATAAATCTCAAAATATTACAGTCAAATTGTATGTATTTTTTTACAATACGGGGGCAAACAAGCATGCGACTCATCTGATGGTAAGTGACTACCACCGCCCATGATCACCCCTGCAACACCAGGGACATTGCAGATGTGCTACCGGTCTTTTAAAAAGAAATATGCTCTACTCTTGAAGGTTATGATATCGTATCGGTTCAGAAATACTGCTGCTGGAAGTTGATTCCAAAGGGTGGTTATGGGTGGAAGAAAATGCCTTGAAAAACACACTGTGGAGGAAAGCCACTCATCCAAATGGTTGAGATATAACTTTAGCAATTTATTTATAAGACTTTAGAAAATACGATAAAATTTTGTAGACTACCCATGGATTGAATAGCTACACCACAACAATAAGTAATAATGGAAAATCAATGGAAGCTTTCTTCTATTTTTACTGAGTTAACGTAAAAAGCTAAAAAATTCTTTATACATTTACAAGTATAAAATTACAGCGTTGCTTTGTTGATTTATGTACTAATGGTGAGAGTTTTAATGATGACGTACGGTCGTACTTTTATCCCACTACTTATTAATATAACAACTCCAAAACAAAAAGTTAAAATATATGTTTTTCTAGCGGATGGAATATACATAAATTTTTCTACCAGTGCTAATCTATCTATATTCCAGTCCAGTCCCGCTACAAGGATTTTAGTATTTTGTCATACAAACCCAACTGTTTTCCCCTTATTATTCCATTCATAAATGCAACAGCTAAAATCTACAGAACGGGGAATATCAAATGACAAATGGCTACGCTGCACTACGCGACGAGAATTATTAAGTTTTGGTAATACAGCTCGGGGTGTTCCAGAAATGATATTACAATAGATGGTACGACTTATCCGGGTAGTTTTAAATGAGATAGTGAATAAATTAAAGCCCAACAATAGTTGCTCGCTCGTCGATGCGACACGCTATGATGCACGTAGCCACGTAAACCTATCACAACGAAAGCAAGCACATCTAAATACATTTTTGCAACTATTGCACGATTTGAGAGTTACGTATCAAGGGAGTACACGCTTCAGTTGACCAAGGAGTTCTCCGAGATTATCTAAAGCAAGTTATAATTTCGAAGTGACTCCGAAAACGAAGTTCTGAATTCGTCTATATTTTTGTGACTATTTTACACAAATACGTCGCCAATTGTGAACGAATTTTAATAATTTATGTAATCAATAGATTTTAAGTCGATTGAAGTCACCATTTCTTTGAAGGGTAAAAAAAAATTGGAGCAAATTAAAAGGTATTCACACGATTCCGGCTTCTAAATTCAATATTTTTAATCAAATATATCTACGAATCGTCCCTATTCCTGTTTTTTTTTTCGGAGCAAAATGTATATGATTATAAATATGACACATAATATATTAATCAATATCATGAATATGACTTCGCGCTTCGCCCGATCTGAAAAGACTCTATATTTAATATAATTGAAGCCGGGCAGGCAGCGACGAAGTAACCGTAGATTTCAGACCACTCGCATTTACCGTTCATGAATCTCAAATAATTATTGTTTTATACAATATTCATTGTTACATACAACGAGAAATAAAAACTACTCCGCTATTAGTGTATTCCATTTGGATTATTTGGTCCTATTTGCACTATTCTATTCCAAAATCTTATAATCAGGGGGAACAGGAATCGTTAGTAATGGGGATCAGCAACACTACTGATATTACTAGCAATATACCTTCTTAGGTCCACCTCCTCGCGGTTCCCCCCGAAAACCATCGCGATTGATTCATTGGTGAATTTGTCACAATGGGCTGTCTGACCTGCTTCATCTTCACATATCATCTCTCTCTAGCGTCCCGCTAGTATATACCGATAGCGCAAGCAGGGTTACCATTTCATTATTATCCATTAAAAAAAAATTAATTACATACCATGTTTCCACTTTAACAGTTAATTACTGAATTACATTTGATGTAGCCGTGTAGGTCCCGGCATAGAATGGACCACCCCTTCCTTTCTTGTGGAAGTCGTAAGAGGCGACTAAGGAAGAATACGGTGCAGGGATGGGCAGCAACGTCCCTCTTAAAACATCTATAAAAGCTTAACTGCGGTTGCCAACTCGCTTGCCATGCGTGGCATCTACTGGCAAAACTCCCCTTATGGGAAAGGCTTATGTTCAGTAGTGGACAGTTAACGGCTGAAATATTTTTTTTTATATACAACTTAGAATGGCAAACAAGCTGCCGGCCCACCTGGTGTAAAGTGGTAACCGTCGCCTATAGACACGAGCAGTACCATGGACATAACAGAGTATACTGTTTCGCCCATGATACCCCCCATGCGTTGCCATTCCTAAGGACTCAGATGTTATTCGTCTGTACCCAGTAAATTCCCTGCCATGTCACGCCCTTCAAACCGAAACACAGCCATGCAAACACAACTGCTTCACGGTTGAAACACGAATGGGACAGAGGTACCCAAGCAATCGACTTTTGTACAAAGTCTCCCTCTGGTAGTTTGATGATTAATTTTTATTTTAATAATGGACACAAAACATAAAATCATCGTCTACATAAAAATTCACGGAAACAGTAAGAGGTATACAAAACAAGATTGGGAGATTCGCCAGGGAATAAACGGCACCCACAGTTCCAATAAACTTGTAACGAATAATTTAGCTTGCGTTTACTGATTTAATACGAGTAGTAATCTATAAATAGCCCATGACTATGAAGTGATCTCTCAAACTGCAAACTGCTCTTGTGTAGGGTCAACTAATTTAAGCAAGATTGGCAATGTAAATAAGATATTTATGTCACCAAACAATTTGTCAACAGTGTAGTGTGTATTAGTGTCCGACCGAAACAGGTTTTACAGCCGAAACCGAACTTTCGACCTTAGTCTCAGTTTCGGCCGAAACCGAAACCGAATCTTACTGAAACATATTTAAAATTTTTCTTCTATACTGAAATCTAGTGTATTTTTACACAATTATTTACACAATCACACAGATAGATAAAGGGTAATAATAAACACTAATTAAAGTATGTAACAAATATATCATATATATATATATATATATATATATATATATATATATATATATATATATATATATATATATATATATATATATATATATAAGTAAAAACATGTTAAAATTATGACTTACTCTTGGAAGTAAACTTAAAAAAAAAATTCAGTTAGACACACACACAACACAAACACACACATAAAGTTTCGTCGCGGCCGAAAGTTTCGGCCAATTTTTGGCCGAAACCGAAACCGAAATTTCGGTCGGACACTAGTGGGTATTATGTATATAGAAATGGATAAAAACATCAAATTAGAATATACATAGATAAACCTACTTTTTTTAAGCCCATTAAAAACAAGGCTAAAGGTCACACCAAATTACTCAAACTAAGACCAATTTAAAAGGCGTATGAATCAATAATGATAATTGTGATGGCATACATAATACATAACTACAGTTGTCAAATTTAACCTTTGTAATCGCTATTAATCCGTATAACTAAAAGACAAAGCGAAAATGTACAAGTTCTACATATCATTTAAAATGGCGCCATTGTGGTCTTTATGAAACATAATTTACATCTTATCTCAGCCACAAGCCAGCGCAATATGCATACTATAGACAGTATAGTACGTACATCAACTCCCACGTACAAATATTTAACCCCTAATTACCACTAGTACGTAACGTAATGTACTCTCACGTCGATACAATCGATGTGGTATTCCCACGCGGCGACGCGTTCTAATGACACCATGATTACCACGCCATGCTGCGTATACGAGCGAATTTTGTTTAGTCATTATTTATCTCGGAAAAAAGACCATGACCTTCGCCAGTAGTGTGTAGCCCGCTAATGCCTATGTAGACCTCGAAATTCAAGTTTGGAAGCCGGCAACGGCATCCGTAGCCGGCAGTCGCGAACCGAACGTCGACGCGAGTGCACGTGCCCGTATATCACAAGCTAAAGTAGTCACCAACCCCATCGATCCCACGAAAGTTGTAAAAGTTACAAGTGCTATATCAGTGGATTGTACGGTTAGAAAACAGTGTTTTCGTATGATGTAGCACTGTTGTGATGGTTGGCCGTTGTATTGGAGGGAAGTGCATTGCCACAGCGTTACCAATGGCAGCGACGGCGAGGTAAATATTGACAGTAAGGGAGTTTGCCGCGAATCCCCGCATGAGACCAGCGACCACTACACAATTATTTACAGAGTCACCGAACGGACACCACTTTGATTTTTTTTCTCACGAAAACTATATATTTACACAATCAGATATATAAACGTATTGATGAGCAAAAATAAATATTGCTTATATAAATTCAACGCTAAATAATTGCTCGTTTTGTATTGCGGAAACACATCTAAACGTGCGGAATAACGTGAGGTAAAACATATAAAAACAAACAAGAACTCGGTTTTTGCAAATTGAAATATATTAAAATGCAAAATAAGGTAATTAAGAGTGAATTTCGAACACACGTAGAAAAGTTTTGAAGTCGTGAAATAGCATTTAAGTGGCCGCATCCGGACCAATAACAGAGTTTATTATGTTAGAGTAGGTATATCATCTGACTAATTTTGCGCTCTACACAATAACGAATTATGAATTAAAATATATTATTTTATATTTTACGAATTGTAGACGAACTTACGTAAGCTTTCAGCGACCAGTCCCCGCCCCCACTTATATAACTGGCCGATTTGGTCGGAATTTTATCTTGGGATTCAATTTTAGGGAATATTGAATTTGTTATTGGCAAGTAAGATGGATATATCCGTTTGCGACGAACCGATAGTTTTTCCTAAATATTTTAAAATGATACAATTTGAAAATAACGAACATGAACAAGTATTTTTATAGTTATATTTTTAGGGGAGTAAAAGTATAGAAGCATTATTGTTCCAAGGGGAAAAAACAAATTGTGAATAGGAGCGAAGACATTTTAGAGTGTCGTAAAATCTCACATATGCCTCATAAATACGGTTGGTGTCGTTTCGAAATTGCTTTCCTTCAATAATTAATATCCCTTTGTATTAGTGGGGCACGTGTCGTATTGAGTTTCTGTACGTACGTACGTACGTACGTACGGTACGTGTCAAATCAAAGTATCGATGCACGCGACCTATCGGACTCGAGTGCAATCGAGCTGCGCCCTTGATTGCATTTCTCAGTAGCATTATCAATGAAGATGCTGTGCAATAAACTGCAATGTAATTCATTGCACGAACGATCATATAGGTCTACAATATTGCGAAGGGTGATTTCAAGGCTTAATAAGAATTTTAAAAGGATATAAAATATATATTGACTTGCTTGCTCTTAAGGATCAACAAATTTTCAATTCTACTGGGATACAGTTTATACATAAGAATAATTTGAGTTATAAAATAACCTCTGTACAATAAACATACAGGGTACGTTTTCTAGGATCAATGTGCTGTGTAATTTTTCAAACAGTAATTTAAATCACAGTTTTTAAAGGCAGCAGTTTAATTTTTTTTCTGTTTAAACTATTTTTTGACTATCACTACCACAAACTCGATTATTCAATAAATATATCGGATTATCAATTCCATTAGAGCAATTTTGCCCAAGAGAACAGTTAACGAGCCCACAATTTGGCGCTTGTATTTATTTGAGGGTTTCCAGAGTCCCGATATCGCGATATCGAAATGGACCACGATAAATTCACCGGTTTCTGAGTAATACCTTCATTTGCGATTTAATAGCACATTTATTTGGGATCACTATATCAAATCGCACGCTATATTCATTTGGGTACAGCGCCCTTCGACCGCTGCCCAAGGACGGTAAGACGTCCTAGGAGTTAAATATAAACTGTCATTAAAGGCAATTTCTTTACTAATAAAAATCAATAATAAAATATCTAATAGATAGTTAACCACTCGTGACCGCAGTAAAAATTTTTTAGTTACATTCAAGGTACAGGAATATATGAACTTGAAAAGATTAGACTTAGTTATAAAGTATATCTAAATGCTAATTACACTTACTCGTAATTATAAATCTGTAGGAACGATGCCAAAATACATATACACAAAACAAAATTAAGTTGCAACTATTTAATCGAAAAATGATATTAAAATAATATATCTTACTAGCTTTCGCCCGCGAATTCTTCGGCGTGTAGTTCGAGTATCCATTCCCTATTTCGCCTCTTCAGTGACGCTTTCTTTAAAAGCCAACAAACATATAAATTTTATTGGATTTGTTTTACTCAGGGCCTAAATCTAAAATTCCACATGTCTAACTTTTAAACTGACGAAATTCCATACAAAATTTTAATCTCTGTTTTACCCCCTTTCCTTATTGTAAACCTACGCTATATAAAGACTACCTACTGAACTTAAAGATTTTAGATTGAGCAGTTTCGACTGTTCAGTTAACATATGGGTCAGTCAAACAGCATTCTCTTTTATAAATAGAGATAATTAATAAAGTATTTATTACAAAGTCAGAATGAAACTGAAATGTGACAATAATAGATTGAATAATGAAACTCGTTACACGCTTGTCAATTCCAAACGCTGCGTCGGACCACTTGATGTTGCATCATTTGGCATTTATTTGTTCTGCGGCAATGAGCGTATGATTGGTAATGTATTTTACTTTACAACAACCTGTATTATATTCACTTTGACATTGAGCATAATTTGTTATGCACAGTTTATCACAAACGTGAAAAATATCGAGAGATATCATCAACAGCCAGAATGGCAATAATACAGAGTTATCTAATTTAACCCATGAATCTTCACTCTTTTACTTCTACGAACAGAAACCTTATTTCCAGATAGAATTGAAAATAGCATCCAACTTTCTGCTGGAAGATCCATTTGAAAGTTTAAACGACTACTTGAAATGTACGGAATGTTTTCCATTCTATCCGAGCATTAGACGTAGTAAATTAGTTATTACACAAACGCAGAATAATATAGAAATAGTTTATTATTGTTCTGAGTAAATTAGTGCTTCGTTAAGCAAAAAAAGTAATAGTATAAATAAAACAAAGCTAGAATATTGATAAATCAGTGAAACACAAAAAAAGCTTACTACCAAAACAATCCAAATTGAAAACAACTGTTTGTATTAAATGTATATATTTTTAGATAAAATAATAAACATAATGACGACATAATATATAATACTTATATAATAGAAAAAAAATAATAACTAGAATACTTGAAATTTAGAATTAAAATAATATGGCTTATTAAATAATTTACAAGAATAAACGTATGACTTTGAAAAATGTGAAACAGAATGTCTATTGTGTTACATTATCACAATCCAATATTCGTCCCGTGAGGAAAAAATCCACTCAATTTATTTACAGCCACTAAATTGCTTATATCTTTTGAGAATTGGTAAAACAACAAGTTATAAGAAAATAAAGTTTAATGCCACGAGCTGAAACTCTATGGATACAGCGCAGTTTTTGCGAGTTTTATTTCTAAATGATGGATTGATATCCACATAACCAATTTTTTTTTTATTAAATAAAGACTAAGAACAGGAATGAAAAACTATTTTGTTTACTAATGACTACAACGATCAAACAATCGATATAAAAGATTTAAGTGTGTTTAACCTTAACGTGACAAATGGGAGAGCCCGCTACATGGACGACATTAATTTAGGGCTCAGTGGATCGAAACGTGAATCTAAAACAGTGACGTCAGCGGGCACCACCTATAACACTATATTAGGAGGAACTGGGCTTGTCGCCTTATTAATAGAAGCACATAGCAACATGCTTAATAGAACAGAACATGCAACCAAAAAAATCTCCTTACGCCACACAAACAAAGCATTAACTAATTGTGAAGATGTAACAGAAAAGACTTACAAATTAATCGTAGTTAATAGTTTAAATTTGAAGCATTACTCGGACCAATTTAAACTGTACCAATGAAAAGAGCCGCCTGTGCAGGACCGATCTTACTGAATGTGTGAGATCACGACGGTCTTGATGCAGCACGTAAGTCGACCGAGATATAATTGCAATGAAGATTTGTCTCAATTAACAGGATTCTCCATTCTGCAGCTTAGTATATTTTAGTTACAAATCAACTAGCAAATTGTTATTACCAAAAAACATTTTCCGATTCTTAGTGGCATCACATATGTACAATAAACAATATATGTAAATACTATATTTTGTTTAATAAATCCACAGACTGCATTCTACTCGTATATTAAAACAGTTACGATCCTGTAAATCTAGCAATAAAAAGAAATAATATCAATAAAACACTTTTCCCCGAGTTTTCCCCACGACTCGAACTAGAAATCGTTCAACCATTTTCTAGGAAACAAAGGAGAAAGGCTTTTTCCCTGCCCTCCTTTTTAGTGTTTTCCATTTAATGAATATCGTAATCAAATAGTTACAACTTCTATGCTTCAATTTTGTTTTGTTCTTTGAAACATTGCATCAATATAAACGGTTAATGATAATAATGATCCATTAAATTAATTTTTTACGGAAACCAGACACGTGCATTGTGCACATTTCTAATGTACAAGTGGATTTTATCGTAATGTATAATATATATATATATATATCTAATACTATGCCCTGTAGCAGGGCATAATGCAGATAAGTAACACCTTATATATATATATATATATATATATATATATATATATATATATATATATATATATATATATATATATATATATATATAAACTATTATTATATTAAACTCAAAAAATAAAACAGTAAATGTATAAATTTTATTTCTAAATGTTGGATTAATATCGAAATAACCATTTTATTTATAAATAAAAACTAATAAAACAGGAAAAAAGAATTATTTTGTTTACTAATAACTACCACGGTCAAACAATCAATATAAAAGATTTAAGTGTGTTTAACTTGAACGTGACAAAAAAAAAAACGTACAAGTGAACGTGTAACAGAAGAGCAATCGGCCAACACCAAGTAGCTACCTCTAGCCAATATTGACACACGTAATGGACCGCTAAATATGAAGCGATGTGAGTACGTAGCAAAGTATAATTTTTAGATAATCAACTGTTTAGAGTGATTTATTAAATCTCTACATAAAATTAATGAATTAAATTACATTTAAAACATTACTGACACA